CTGATCATTTGTCACGTAGGTAGTGAAGACGGCTTTGTTCCCGAAGCACTGTGGGCCTTTGCATCAAAAAAGACAGGGGACTATCATGAGGAGATGGACGGCAATTCCTTTGAAAATTGGTTCTCCAAAATGTTACTAAAGCTGGAGAATAACGCTGTTATTGTACTGGATAATGCCCCGTACCATTCTAGAAAAATAGAAAAAACTCCCACAATGGCAACTAAAAAAGCAAACATACAACAATGGCTGGCCTCAAAACAGATCGATTTTGATGAAACAATGGTCAAGGGTGAATTGATAAGTATAGTCAATAGACATAAATACAAATACGATTTTAAAATGATCGACGAAATGGCCAAAAAACAAAATAAAACTGTCTTGAGACTGCCACCCTACCATTGTGAGCTGAACCCTATTGAGCTGATTTGGGCCAACATAAAGCAATACGTGGCGTCGAATAATAATACTTATAAATTTTCTGATGTTAAAAATCTCTTTCACATCGCAGTCAATAGAGTTACGGCAGAGGAATGGAAAAACTGTATCCGCCACGTTCGGGAGAAGGTTGAGGTCAAAATGTGGGATTTGGACAATGTCATCGATACCCAAATTAAACCTCTAATAATTCATTTAAACGATTCAGAAGATTCAAGTTCCTCTTCTGAATGAGTGCGCGCAGCTTACTTACTAATAACTAAAAAGTGTAGTTAACTCATTTGTGAATCTCTAACTGAAATTTACTGTAAAAGATAATAATTATCTTGTATGAAATTTTTGATGACTACCCATAATATCTTGATGCGGTCCTGTAATGTCTCCTGCGCCTAAACACTCACTCACGAGCAATATGCGTGTATTTGTTTGGGTTTAGTTTCTTTCTTCAGCGCCTAGAGTATAGAATTATTTATTGAATTGTGATAAAAACTTTTTTGCTATCATGGAAGTATACGCTGATAAAATGTTGAAGGCATTCCGAGCCGTACTTTTTTTAAAAGGTTTTTTTTTTGTCATTTCAGGAACATGTTTACTTAATATTCAGTGATTTTTTTGTATTGACTCCATTTCTTTCTTTGTTGTTTCATTGCATTATCATATCCAGACGCGCCAATTTCACTCAACTTTCCGAGTTTGAGGGGGGTCGGATACACTCATTCTACTAAAAATTTGAAGGCAATAGGCTAACTTTTCAACCGTAGTTGCTTCAATCAATCGGAGGCGTCTTTGAGATACTTTTCACAAGAACTACTCTTCTGGCGTAACTGGCAGTCGCAGCAAGAAACGGTTTTAAGTTTTCGAATAAACGCCGCTGATTACTTTTGCTAATTATTATTTAACATAGCCAAATTCTCAGAAGTTAACAACTGACTAAACATGATTACAGCGCAGAGTTGTAATCAATAAACGAGCGGTTAATTTATTGTCAACATTATATTGTTAAAAAAGTGTCGCTCATACTTGAGGAAAATCACCGTTGTGACAGAAGCATAGTATAAAGAAACATATGTAGTTTGATTCGGTCAGATAAGTTTCAGATGTTACGCTTTCTTAAATTTCAAACATTTCATTTACATACGTTTTTCGTAAATATTTTTGCATCTTCCCTCTTTGCCCCATGTTTCTAACCAAGTACTGAATTTAAAATGACTGTACTAGTTGCGGTGGCAATCAGTGTGGCGTTTTTAACAGTGCCGCCTGTAATTAGATTGTTCCAGTCAGTCCTGCGAGGCGTGTTGCTGTTTTTTAAGTCCTTTTCCTGTTTCTAAGTCACGCTACCGTCACGTTAGTTAAACTTTTAAAAGCACTGGCGCTTGCCCTAATATTTTGATTAATCGGTTAGTCCTCGAGTGCTCGTAAGAAACTTTAATAGATATTTTGTGTACATGGTGAGTGAATCAGAAGAGGAAATACGCCTATAGCAGGAAGTAGATCAAGAAATGTCATAGAAAATGCATACAAACATAGATGCTGAAGAATCAAGTGCAAATATGTTATAATCTTTTTCTCTATACAAGATAAAGATCCTATGCATGGGTAACTCAATACCTGTGGGAGATACAGCTTAGAGAAACTTGTAAATATTTTATGGCTTATTGGGGTATTTGGGAAAAACTGACATTTGAACAAATCGTTTTTATTTTTTCTTTGCTTTATTTTAAGAAATATCAAAAACCAATAAAATTTTTTCATTAGCACTTTTTAGGTACTACGTGATGTTTTTAAATTTTTTTGTGATCGACGTTTTGTTTTTTGAGGGACCATCATCAACTTTATTTGGTTTGAAACAAAGTTACCCTGTATTTAATAGCATATTTTTCCACGAACTCAACGATGAATCACAAGTCACATTTGTTTTCTTGGTTAGGCTTTGCCTTATGCCGCACTACGGCTAAACTGCCGCGGATTTTAACCGCCTGATTTTGTGAGTAAACTAATGGAAGCGGCCGCACTGACGGTTTTTTCCCGGGACTGATTTTAAAACCGTGACTTATTACAGAATGGCTAGCGGGAAAAGCTGAGCTAAAATTTGTAGTTCATAGAACACACTGAAATTGCCCGAAAAGAAAGTCCAGCTTCCCGAAGTCCCACTATACGGCCCCTATCAAACTCACTAAGTTGACGAAATCGTACAGGTCTCCGTACTCTAGGCATCGTAACCGATCGTAAAGGATGTCAAGAACCAAAATCCGCCAACGTTGATTCTTTACTGCGACTGAAATATTTATTTTTAGAGCGTTAGTGAATTAAAAAAAAAGCATTATAAAAACTGATAAGGCTGAAAATTTTTTCACTTGTTATTGACAGTAAGATAAATACATTCACCAACTTTTATTAAAATAAAACCATTTAAACTGGGTGTTCGGATTTATATGTCACTTAGTATACTAGCTGAGCTATTTGCACAACATGTGTAAGAAGGTGTGATTGGGCAAGACATAGATGACAAAAATTTATATGAGAAATAACATGCTACCTCAAACGAACCTAGAGCTCATTAAAATGAAGCGGATACCTCACGTCATGAGTTCGAAAAGCCAGTATTTTTACGTAATTAGATCGAAGTAACGCTCTTCATTGACCAATTTCTCTCGAACGAAAGCACATTGGAGGTCACGTTTGAAAGGCATGATTTGGGAGAGGAGGACCTACTCACAGGAAATGTGTCTTCAAAGCAGAATGAGGATATAAAAAAAACTTCAAAAGGTCAACCAGGACAAAACAAACATTAATAAAACCTGGAACTTGGAGTTGTCGGCAAAGTATGCTTTTTTATCTCAGCAATACTGTTATATTCCTCAACGCTGAGAAACGATTTGATTGTCATCGCGTTTAGCGCCTCTGTGATACAAAAAGCATGACCTCATATTGTATGTAACAACCTAATATCCTACTATGTCATCATTGGCCTCTATTTGAGAGCCACTAACGTTTTTTCCTGGTGACTGGCGTTAACAGTGCTTTAGTATTATGCTTTCATCTACATTTCCCAACTTAGGAGAGGATTCACACTCTATTACACTAAATAAGCTTACCACAATCTTCATTTCATCTGGAACCCAATTCTAGAATCCTTGAAACATTTTTTCACGCAATATATCAACTTAGAATTGGGCATATCCCGTAGTGGATCATCATCTCATAAGATAATTCTACTAGAAAATATTTTTTGTTTTCGGTTAATTCGTATGTGAGGAAACTGTTACTGTATATGCTGTCCGTGAAGTATATGTGAGCTGGAAGGGGTTTGATTGGTGATATCGAAAGCAACGGCGGAAGTTGAGAACACCAGGGAACAAACAAATAAGATGAGACATCTAGATTTTGCCACCAAAATTCTTGTAGAAATGAGAGCATTATCCGCTTGGAATATATATCCTTAATCAAAATCAGTAGAGAGAATTGAAAAGTCTTGATAATCGCCAGGGAAGCTACGACATTAGGTCTGGTTTTGCTGAATATCCTAACCCTAACCAAAAGTATACCGGGCCTTGGGTGCGAGCATATTTACAGTACCTTTTTCTTTATTTGTCACATAATCACCACAAACACTCTCAACTTTTAATGCACCTTCTGCCTGTTCTACATAGTCTTTGTATGCATCTGCCGTAACTTCCTTGGAGTAGCATCCACCTACCTCTTCGATGCCAACACAAAAGCTTTTTATCAGCCTTTTAGAGGTGAATTATTTCGCAACAGTAATGTAAATATGAAAAGTCACATTTTACGTTGATCGTTACATTTTGCGATTATAACGTGTTTATAACCAATTATGGCAATTAACCTATAACTTTTAAATAACGGTTGATACCAATGGCTTTCGAAATATCAAATTCCTTTAGCTTTTACATCATAATGTATCAAAATAATGTTAAAAAAATAATGGAAGAAGAGGATAAGAACGACAACAAAAATGAATTAGCGATTTTGGTGTAGCCTAAAAGCTGTAGATTTTGAGTAAGTTTTATTAGAATGTTTTGATTTTTATCTATCAACTAACTCACGTAGCGAGTGTGCTTGACCTTCGCACCGCTGCGCCTTTTGTTTAATGTAGTCTTTTACGTAAAAGACATCGAAGTCTTAACAATACAATATTCTGCTTTGCAGGACCCAAACACTTTACATATGCTTATTTATGCCGAGGAAACTTGAAGCCATCCATGAATGATGGTTTTTTACCTGTCTTATACAGCCGGTTCTTCCTCAAACCATAAACATAACAGTGAACCCGACCGATTTAGAGATTTCTGATTAAGAGCAAAAAACTTGAGTTCAAAATTCAGAATTAATTGGAAGCAATAAGTACATAAAATGTGGTATATAATACTGATGATAGAGGTCGCAAGTTTGGTCGACTAGTGTCGCTTTCTGATGAACGCTTATGATCGCTTTGTTGTCGTTACTTTGTTTAGATGGCGTTGTCACAGGTGATGCTAAAAAGTAGTTAATTTACTATTATTTGTGGTGTACCGGTGATCTGTGGACTAGATGAACATTTTTTTTAGGCATTTTCATGCAGTCTTTCTCATTATAAGTGCATTCTTGTGTCTAAAACTGGCAAGGGTAGTTGCGGAACAGAGTAAGTTTACCAGAGTCGTTGTTTCGTGTAATCGTATCATAACGCAAATGAAAAATACACCCACGCAGTTTTGGGTTTACGTGGTTCAGAGTTGAATAGCGTCCCAGATGATCCTTGGATAATCCGTATCCGCATGGTTGATTATTCGAGGCTAGGATTTATGATTATGGCAAATGGGGGATCGATCCCCGGGTCACCGACGGATGTAATTGAGTGCATCAAGCTCCCATTTGTTACTACTTCCGATGTTGAATTGAATTTTGGAATTTAATTGCTGCCCCTGGTGTGTCCTCGTTAAGTAGGGCCATCGATTGCTCATGCAGTGAGGCGATTGATATTTCGGACGCCGAATGTAGCAGTTATTATGTTTAGTTCAATAATTACATATATTTCTAGAAAGTGTCTAGTTGCACTTCAACGTTATTTGAGAAAGGTAGTAAACGTACCCGGTCCTGAAGTGACACTACAAAGTACTACCACAGACGAAAGCCTGTCAAAAATTAAAGAAAGTATGTTGACTTTAGAATGTGCGTCACTGTTACATTCTAACAATTATTTGAAAAGGTAGATGAATTAATAAAAAACATACGTGTTGTGGTCTGCAGAGCTACCTTCCTCAGAGAGTTCTCAGTAAAGGGTTAGTATTATTTAACATAACACGTAACTAGTCTGAGAAAGCAGATGTATTGTAATCGCTAAACGTTTCGAGAAATAGATATAATATCTGACACTTATCAAACCACATGCGATTCCAATTTTTCTTTACTCTACGTAGTATACATTCTGGTCACAGCCGTGACCTTCTTCAGCACATGGCAGTTATATCGTACTCAAAAATGCTCGGCTTCAAGAACGTTAAGCCTTCCGTTAGCTTATGCTTAACAGCGACTGAAAATAACGAATGTCAACATAAAAAGGGTTTTTATGACCACCACATGATCACTAAAGTGAACCGTGGTAATTTGACAGTATGATTACCACCAGGTTACTTATTTTTACCGATTTTGACGCGAAGCTTACTCCAGAATTTCAAAACCTTGTTGAATTTTTCATAAAAAAGTTTCAGTATTATTTGACCCAAACCCCATAAGAAATGAATGGGTTTAGAATCAAAGGAGCACAGAAGGTCAAGTGACCACAAAACATTGCAAGCATAACAAAAATCGGGACATATTGATTTCTTTAAAACACTGCCTATTTTTGGCAATTATCTTTATCTGTGATCTAAAACTCATATTTCTATTATATTTCAACCAATATGACTTTATAACTTGAAATTATTTTAATTAAGTTTTAGGAGTTCCCGCAACGATGCTGAATGAGACAAAATCATTCTCACGTAATACCTTGGGCGGCACCCGGTGCGGAAGTTGGTGGTGTCAACCCATCGAAAGTCAAAAGCAATAAATTTTATGTGATTTATAAACGTCATGGATCATTTAATATTCATATTTAAAATATTGAACAAATAACAAAACTCAATAAAAACTAAGAAATATTTTTATCTTACAATTAAAATATCTTCTTTTTAGCTTGGACGGCAGCAAACTGAAAAATAACTTCATCAAAATTTATATGTATTGCCTCGTGTTCGATAGCAAATATACCAATATTGCTAGGCCGCGATTGGGTCATTGTTTCCCGCAAATAGCTTTTTATTAATTTTTGTTACTGAATCTCCTTTCACATGAAGATACGGACACGCAAACGGTCTTGAGCAATTTTAGTGCAACCGTAAGATTTGAAAGAGATTCTGTAAAATCCCATTCTACAATAAACTTTATAAAATCCAGAGATACCCAAACAGAAAATGTTACATTAGCGGTTTTTATGTGTCTTCGCAGTCATGGTATCTCCAGAAGCAGTTCTGTTTCTGAGACCTCATCATAAAAATCAGTAAATTTGGATGTAACTAATTTCGGTTCTTCAGGATTTGCCAGAAGCAAAGTATTTGTTTGTATGATCTCAAACAATGAAGCTAAGTCTTGAAGATACTTCGATCTTATCTGGAGTTCAACCCTGAAAAAGTTGAGTCACCGGCTGGGTGTCACCCCTTGCTGCGCCACTGGCCATCCCTTTCCTCAGTTGCTAACGGATCTTCCATATTTCGATAGCGGAGAACGAAGGTTTGTCCTGCTACTGCGCAAAATCGAAATAAACAAGATCATAGCGAAGCAACAAAAAAAGAACACTAAAAACTTTATTTTGTAGTGGATTTATAATATTTCGCTTACACATCTATCAGTTTAAGCTTATTGCAGGGAAAAGTGATACTTTCTCGTAGATTGTAGCTGCCATTACTTGGTGAAACTCTTCCGTCATGCGATCGAATGTACAATTTGTTATACAATCTTCACAATAAAGCTCTGGATAGTTCGTAGTACGTTTCAGTTTCATTTGGAAATCATCATTGGCATTGGTTATCCAAATTACATCTGCGAGCTAGACTAGCCTAGCCAGAACCGAATGCCCTATTTGACCTGTCTTGCAATTACTTTTTGCTCGTGCATTTTTCTTTCACTGTCTATTACTTTGACATTCTTATTATTAGAGGAATATGTTTTTGCTGACTGCATTCGCACTTGGAAAAATGGGGTTAACATTAGATGTATAAAAATAATTCCTAGACGTGGCAAGAAGGTCATTTGGTTCAAGAACTGATATTCGATACCGATACCGTAACAAACTTCGCTTTGCCACCGGCCTTCATACAATCACCTCTAGCCAGCTGAGATTAAGCCGTTCAGCAGCTCACAGGCAAGGTACAGTTATGAAACTTTAGCTTTGCGAAACAATTAAAGCATCCCACAAACCGGCGCGAAATAATCGCGGCGAAGTATTCGCAACGAAATTCAGAGCGAAATTCGCAATCTGTTTCGCCTGTTTATTCATACCAAAGCGTCTTATTCGCTCCGCGAACGTGAAGGTTTCGACAGGTTGCGTACATTTTATTTTTGCCTTTTGCAATGAGCTCGTCTTCAGAAGAAGAGGAGGCACTTCTATTTCTTGCTTTAGAAGAGGAACAGAATGCACGGTAAGTTATGTTTATTTAACGCCATTTAATAGTTGGGTATGTATTAAGTTCAGCGAAGTACATAAAACAAATATTTTCAATTTTGTTTAGGAAACGAAGGAAGTGGGTACATGATATTAACTTGGAACGAAATAAATTTGGGAAATACCATACCTTGATGTCACAACTTCGGCTGGATGAACAGCGCTTTTACGTATATTTTAGAATGACTCCAGAGTGTTTCGATGAAATATTGAACTTGGTGAAAGATGAAATACGAAAATCTGACACAAATTATCGTGAAGCTATTTCGCCAGAAGAACGACTTGCTATTACACTCAGGTAAAAAAATTATATGTATTAAAATTAGTAGCCTTATCGAATACGAAAACTTCAGGGATCGTGAAATAAATATTTTATTGTAATAATTGGACTACATGTTGCCACTAGGATTAAATGTTGCTAAATAATTCGAGGCAGAATTTGCCTCCTCTGTTGGGTATATTATTGGAGTAAACCCAGTGCCGCTTGGGAAGGACGACATACTATTATCATACATACTTGCGGAATTCTGGGTAGACGCTGAAGACATTTCTTCAATATGTTCAAATTCTTCGTGCGCTATTAATTCGGCTATTTTCAGTTTTATTCGGGCTTGACGCTTTAAGGGAAGTGTTTTCACAGTCTGTGCATGTGCCAAGAAAAGTGAATCAATGGCCTCGTAGGTTTTTTACCTTCAAAATAATTAATGAGCTGTTGTACAGACGAAGATGGTGGTTCATAGCGTTTTCTGCTCGTTTTATATTTTGGTGTAGTTGCAGTCTGCGGAAAGGTGGAGTAGTCACTGCTGTAGTGTTCAATGAAGAAGGTGGTGCTGTCTGTGTTGCCGAGGCGTTCTGTGCATCTTCTGCATCTACATCAGCATTTTCATCTTCTCCATGGCCGAGGTCTTCCAAATTTTCGGTTTCTACATTTCCAGCCCTTTCCTGATATATATTTGAGTTAAATTCGGCAGTCTCATAATATATGACGTCAATATCTTTCACATTAGACGACGTTTTGGCAAATGCCAAAAAAGGACGGAAAAATTCCATGTAGTCAGCCCACTGCCATTTTTTTTATGTTGCCCACTGCTTGGCCGGTATTTGGTTTGGTAGATTTTATATATTTTGCAAATGTGTCTCAGATATTCTTCCACCTTTTTTTTACTTCATCACCTAAAAACGATTTTTTTTATAGATTCGTTGCCACTGGTGACACCTTCTATACCATTGGGCATAGCTTTCGAGTTGGCTTTACAACAGTGAGTGCAATCGTAACCGAAGTCTGTGAACCGATATGCAGACATATGGAGCATATATATTTACCAGAACCAACAGAGAATATATGGAAAAAATGTGCTGAAGAATTTGAAAATAGATGGGGATTTCCCAATTTCATTGGCAGCGTGGACGGTAAACATGTAACAATCAAGAGACCTAACAACAGTGGCTCCAATTACTGGTGCTATTTACATAAATATTCAATAGTACTTATGGCCATTGTTGGCCCGGACTATAAATTTATATGCGTTGATATTGGTGGTTTCGGAAAAAATAGTGATGGGGGTATTTTCGAAACCTCAAACATGGGAAAACGATTTGAACAAAATTTAATGAGTGTCCCTGCACCTAGATTTCTCCCTGGGCAAAATGAAATCTGCTCGTACGTCTTAATTGGTGATGAAGCATTTGCTTTAAAACCATACCTTATGAGACCATTTCCTTATAAGCAGACTTTAACAGACGTCAGAAAAGAGAAATACAATGTAAGACTTTGTCGAGCTAGAAGGGTCGTGGAAAATGCGTTTGGTATTTTGTCTCAAAAATGGCGAATATTTTACAGGCCATTAGAAACTAAAGTAGATGCTACCATTCTAATTGTACGTACGGCATGTGTTTTACACAATTTTTTACGAAGTAAAAGTGGTGATGACAAATATTTTCAATTCTTAGATCCCCCAGAACCCGTGCTTGGAGCTTTTACTGATATAGCAAATGATCCTCGGTGGGCAGCAAAGCTAGCATTTTCTACTCGTGACAAATTCGTAAATTATTTTAATTCTGATATGCCTATGCCCAATATATAGAATGTTCGTTTTCACATTTGTGTAGACTGTAAATTATTTAGCAACTTAATAAAAAATATTAGGTACATACCATTTGTATTTAATTCTTTTCCCATTTCCATCCAAATCTTGTCTTTCTTTCTCATATTCCTGTATTCATCGTTCGACAAATCATACAAACAAGGATACTTTTTCACTATTTCTATCAATAATTCCATTTTTGCCATTGCGAATTTTTGAAGAACGGCGTCAAAAACGCGGTCAAAGGCGAACTGAAATACGCCGCGATAAAAACGCTGGAACAATCGCATTCGCTTCGCACAAGTTTGAGTCTGTCCGTAAACCGCCGCATTTTAATCTGATCGCGAATTCATCGCCGCGAAATTTTCGCAGTCAAAGCGAATATTTCGCGCCGGTTTGTGGGATGCTTAAGTGTTGCCTTGCAAACAAGTGATATATGTACGAGTACCTTTGTGTTGCGTTAAGTTGTGTCTTGCAGATTTCATCCATTCTCACAAATGAATCGTTTGATATGTTTTCCTTACAGCAGTTGGACGTCTTAATCGCGGCTGACCAGAGGTAAGCGGATATACATATTCTGGTACCGCTTAGCTGATCGAGTTTCATGATAGAACTTACTCAGCTAGTTCGCATATATATTTTGGTTTATAAATGTCAATAGCAGTCTGACGATGCTTTCCAAGTGAAATTGACACGCGTTACTACTTCTATAGCATTTTATTATGCGGCTTGTACAGGGTGGCCGATAATTATGTAACTGACTGGCTTGAATCTTGAATATTTGTGAAATTAAATAAAAAACGTCTTAATCTTTAATTAAAACTTTGAAATTATGTATGAAAAATAATATCAGACAAATGTCTGCCTAACAAATCTGAGCTCTTTTGCTTACATTTTCCATCACTTTTTGTTAGGTTTTGGGAGAAATATTTTCAATCGCTTCCGTAATATTGTTCTTCAGCTACTCTATAGTATATGGTTTCTTGGTAATAGACCCTATTTTTCAAAAATCCCCATAAAAAAGTCAGGAGCCGTTAAATCCGTTGACCTTGGTGGCCAGTTGACATCATCAAATCGATAAATTAAACGTCCCGGAAATATTGTTCGCAAAAGATTCATTGTTTCTCTAGCTGTGTGACAAGTTGCTCCATCCTGCTGGAACCACGGTAGCGCTCGCCAGTGACAGTAAGAGACTTGCAGCGTCTTCACAGAAGAAAGGTCCAATGACACCTCTATACCAAATATCGCACCAAGCTGTGACTCGACGTGGATGTAGTGGTCATTGCTGGATGACACAGGGGTTCTCTAATGTCCAGATATGACAATTCTGCTTATTAACAAATCCGTTCATATCGGAGTGGGCTTCACCGCTCATTATCAGTTGTTGGTAAAAATCGTTATTTTGGGTATTAAGCTACTATATTGAATGACTGTATTGTCGGAGACTTTCATAGTCACTAGGCTGTACTTTTTGGGTTTCCTGAATTGTATATGACTGAAAATGCAATTCTGGGGGACGTCTCAGGGTGTTCCACTACACTTTCACAAAATGTGTGTATCAAAAGTATCGCGCAAGTTGAATCAGTAATAATAATAATAAATTTTATTGTAAAAAGAAAAAAGTATAGCAGTAGTAGATAAAAGACAATATTCTACAGTAAACGAATGGACCCAAAAAATGTTTCACAGAAACTTGTGCTTGGGCATGAGCTCATGTATAAATAACTTAAGACTAAAAAAAAAAGATATATATAAAATTTATTAGACAAGGTCTGGTAAAATTTTTAAAAAGACACAATCGGGACGGAGACACAAAATCGGGACGTAGACGCAATCGAGATAGAGACAATATTGAAACAAAAGACAATATTAGGTGAATAGACCAGAACAAAAATTGGTAAAAATAAGTAATAAAATGCAATAAATCAGGAGGTAAGAATTCAAATCAGTTTGATGTACACATTTTTTTTTCATTTTGAAATTTCAATAATCTTGAGAGAGGTTTCCGCTTTCAGTAGCAGTAGATATTTTTGATATCAATCGCTTGATGAATCTCCAGCCTATGCTGGTTTAAAATCCACAGTCTTAGATGCTTTTTCATAGCCTTTTATTTTTAATATCTTTTATCTGAGGGGGAATTATGTTATATACTTTTGGTCCTAGGCAAGTGAAGTTTCCTCTGACCTATGGTCTTTTTAGTCTTCGGTATGCGTACTGAATGATTTTTGGATCTGGTGTGATGGTCATGTGGGAGGAAATTCAATAAATGCTTGTGATTTGTAATATATGTGAACACACCCTCAAAATAGACTTACCTACAATCACATATCTTGGATACCTTATACATCATATCGGTTGGATAGGTGATAGTTTTGTGGAACATGATTTTAAGAATCCATTTCAAAATTCCGTATGTAAACAACGGTTGTACTAACGTTTTGTATATGGTGCATAGGTCTTTATCAGAAAAAGATTCCGAAGAAAATTTAAATTTGGTATAAGACATCTTAATCTCTTCGTTAAGCTTTCTATTTACTTGTCCCATTTTAGGTGGCTGTCCATTAAGATTTCTAGGCATTTTATATGATTTGCTGGCTTTAGGACTACTACTTCATCTATGGGTGGTAATTTGATATGTATGTTAGTGAATGTGGGACTGTTCCTATCATCACATGAAAAAGTCAGATATAAAGTTTTTTCATAATTGATTGTTAATATTTTATTATTGAAGAAGCTTATAATGATTCTGAATTCCTCTTCAATAAGAGTCTTTAAGATATTTTTCACTATAAAAAACAGCCGTATCATCTGCGAACCCGATAATTTTACCGTATGTGTGTAGGTTAAAAACATCATTTACATATAGGTTGAACAGGATAGCTCCTAAGACTGTACCTTGTGGGATACCGTATGTTACATGGTGCAGGTCGCTGATGGAATTATTAACTTTCAGACATTGATTCTTATCTGTAAGGTAGCTTCTGAGTAAAGTATGTGTTTTGCCACGAAATCCTAGATTCTCCAAACTAGTTAGTAATTCTTTGTGTTCAACTGTATCAAATGCCTTCTTTAAATCTATAAAGACACAGGCTGATGGGTTTCCCTAGTCTAGACTGGTATACACGTTTTTCATCAAAACTGCAATTGCATCCTGCGTGGATTTTCCTTCTTGGAAACCATATTGCTGCTTAGATAGAAGTCTACATTTATCAATAAAATTAGTAAAACGGGCCTTCAAAACTTTTTCAAAAATCTTTGAGAAAATGCTTAGTAGTGAGATTGGTCTATAATTGGAAATTTGTGTCTTTTCTCCAGATTTGTGTAGTGCCTTTACTAGTGCAGTTTTTAGTGCGTCAGGGAATATAGCTTTGTCTATGCAAGTATTGATGAGGTACGATAAAACACTTAAAATGTTGTTACTGATTTGTTTGAGCGTGTATGATGTTATACCATCAAGGCCTGGCGATTTATTTAGCTTTAGTTGGCAAATAATATTATTTACCTCAAGTGGATCAGTTGGTGCCAGATAAATTGAATTTTGTATTCGCTGTCTTTCAAATCTTTCATTCTGCGTTATAGTTTTTCCCCTACTTCTGAAAAATACTTACAAATCTCATTCGCTGCATCTTTGTCATTTATTGTGCGTTTATGTGTCGTCTGACTTTCCACAAAATGTATATCAGATACTGGTTTTATTTTATTGTATTTGTTTACAAACTGCCACATTTTTGTTAGGCTGTCTTGTTTTTGTATACATTGTTTTTGAAAAAGTTTTTTTTGCCAGGTTAATGACTTTGGTTAGCTTATTGCGATACGTTTTGAAGTCGTTTAGTTACTGAGCGGTTTCAGGATGATTTTTTGTAGCCTCATACAGTTGATTTTTTTTATTAATTGAATTTACAATCCCATTAGTAATCCATGGCTGTCTCTTTATCTTGTTACGAATTATTTCAATTGTTTTGGAGTTACTGTCTATGTATTCTCCTAGAAGTTTTACAAAAACATTAAATGCTTTGCCTGGATGCTCTTCACTGTACACATCATACCAGTTTTCGGTACTTAAGGCTTCATTCAGCTTTTTGTAGTTTATATATGTGCTGTATTTTTTCGTTGTTTTTTGTTTAAATTTTTTATTGTCTTTTATAGACAATTTTAGTATTATGGGAAAATGGTATGTAATGTTGTAATGCAATATAGAAGAAGAAATACAGTCAGATGATAAAAAAGGTGAATTTACGAAAATATGATCCAGGCATGTTACACTATTCCACTCCACTTGTGTGTAGCCGTTTATAGCTGACAAATAGTTATGTTCGGCCATAATGTTAAGGTACTCATAGAAGTGTGAATATGTCAAAACAATAGTATAACATTTGAAGGAGAGCACATAGTTCATTGATATTTTTTTGAATGCTCCTGATATTAATGTGAAGCACCTTCAGTTCGGTTTCTGATTTCGTTCTAAGAAAATGTTCCACATTTGTCAAGTTTGCAAGTATTGCAGTTTTAACTTTTTGTACTTTAAAATCTCTTATTTACGTGTCCATATTTATTTATATGCAATATATAACAACGACAAGACACAAGTTTGCACTAATTGTCCACTAAAACATCTATCATTGCAACTATAATATATTACATATTGAAAATATACTTGATATAATATCATTAACGAAAAACGTTAAAAGGATTTTTTTAATGTACTTTTTTATACTTGTTCGTCTCTACACTGTTAAACACTAGTATATCTCTTTTACTTATTTCCTCTGGATTGACTTTGTAGCCTTGTCTTTCTTGATTGCTGATCCATCATCTGCTTGCTTGTTTCTTGTTTCGTCTTCTTAGCTGGTGGCTTATCTCCAGGTGACAGGCTGGGTCTTGAAGGAAGAACGGAGCTTACTGTAATGGTGGTAGTCATTTCCTCAAGGATTGGCCTATTTAAAATTTCATCATTATCTTCCGAGAGACCAGAGGGCGTGGTTGGAATGTTTAATTCTTCTATACCAGCTTCACCTTCTAATGCATCGACAGTGTACGAATCTCCATTTATTATTAGTTTATCACCAACAATTTTAGCAGGAATGTTGTTTGCTTTTGCGGCTTTGCAGAGTATTTTTGTTGGTCTGACGGTCCTTTTCGCATAGATCTTGCACAACAAAAAGACTGCTACCTTTAAGCTTGTGTACGTTTTGAAACACTTGTTGTTTTTTGAAGTACGAAATAAACTCAATCTTAACAGGACAGTTTTTATTGTTTATAACGTATATGTTTTGTAAATCGTTTTTAGATATGTTTATTCCTAACAGGTTGTTTAATTTCCCTGTTGCTATATCTGCTAGATTAGCAGTTTTGCTATCGACTTCCAGTCCAAATACAAGTATATTATTTTTTCGTTAGTCAGTTGTATATTGGCCACCATGTACAAACAATCATATGATTCGTTTGCAAAGAGTGATATTGTTAATATTTTAGGTCGATATCGCTGGAACACTGCACAATATGGCGTTTTGGTTTACGATATTTTGATGTCTTGCTTCTAATATCCGATCGGAGACTTT